GGGGTCTAGGACTTACTGCAAGCTATTGATGTATATTTCTGTTGTGCTTTGATTTACTTTGTGCTGTTATGGCCAATGGCTAAGACAATAAACGAAACTTGAAACTATATGCTGAAAATATTCTCCAGTTTTATATACCAGGTTGCTCCACCCTCTCAAACCCAATCAGTGTTAGGCAGGGCTGCATCTTGGCCCCACATTTATCTAATTTATATATAAATAATTTTTATCCTAGCCAGGACTGTAGATCTTGTTCTCCTCAGCTAAGTGGTCAGCCTGTACCTTATTTAGCATACACAGACAATCTAGTTTTATTAGCCCGTACTCTCTCAGGTTTAGTAAAAATATTAAATGTGTTTTAGGATTTCTGCATGAAAGAATATTTAGAAATAAACTTCGATAAAAGAAAGGTACCAATCTCCTCTAAATCCAAACTAAAAAGGACGCATTCTTCATCCTTGCATGGAAACTCAATTGAGATAGTAAGAAATTTCAACTACCTTGGGGTTATGTTTAAACAAAATCTCTCTTGGGATTTGCATATCCATACGTTAATGCAGAAGTCAAACTCCTCCATTACTTTATTTTAAAAAAGCTTTTATGGCAAAGGAGGGCAATTTGTTTCAGCACTTATGATCCTTTATAGAGCAATTATAGATTTGGTTGTTAGATATGCTGCTCCAGTATGGTATACTGGTCATATAGAACATCTTGATTTTCTTCAAATCATATTCTTTGGAAACCTATTGCGTGTCTCCTCCACCTTGTGATTAGAGCTGGGGCTTCCAAACCTACTATTATTTCTCAATTTGCCATTAAATGTTGGTTTTCTCTTTTTGAGCCACCAATAGCTTCTGTTTTGTTTCAGTTGTTAATTTCAGATACCTCTATGTTCACCTGGAGCAGAAATTTAGATAAAAGGTTTTCCCTCCCAATAGAGCAACTTAAGGCTGCAAGGAACTGTACTAGGAAAGTAAGCTGTAATAGCCTTTGACAACATATTAAGCTGTAAAAAGCTCAAAATAAGACCTTTTTTTTTGCATCCCTCTAAGGGAAGCTTTTTATTAGTTTTTTACAACACTACAAATTACAACTGAAAATAAGGGAAGGGAAACTACCTCTAAGGAGAAAGAAAAGAAACCCACTAATGACTAAAACCCCAAGTGTAGGAGGTCAATACATCAGCTTATTTCAATATTATTCTAAAATGCTAGTAATACATTGAACCTAGTCGGTTATGCTAAGTTATTTATCTTTTAACCATCCATTTATCTGTTAAATGAAACCATCAGAGCATCCCAAAGTTACTTCTAAATTTTCAGGCACAATTCAGAGTCCTTCAGCCTTTATTTTCTCTTACCTTTTCTTATCCTCAATTTATATGGACTTTTGGGGGCTGCTGCCCCCTTTTCAGAGAGAGAGTCCTCGTCAGAAGACTATCTTGCCATCCGATTTGCTTTCTTCTTCTTCCTTCTTGTGCTCCGCTGGTTCCCCCAGCTGTGTTCTCAGAAACTCTCGTGCTTTAGGAACAATCTTTTCTTTTTTATCGTGGAGCTTGGAAATGACGTCTTCTGGAATTAACCATCTGTAACTGATGCCATTTGTTTGTAAGAAAAGGATTAAGTCTTTGTATTTCTTTCTCTTCTGTCTTATTTCAAATGAAATGTCTTTTAAAATCCTGATGTTGTTTTCCCCGATTTTCAAGGGTGTTTCCATAGTTGCTTTCAAGATAGAATCTCTTACATGTCTCTTCGAGAATCTGACTACTATTTCCCCAGGCAGATTATTTTTCTTGATATATAAGGAATAGGACCTGTAGACCACATCCATCTCGCTGAACAAATATTCCGCTGTCAAATCTGTCAATGGGGCTATTGCATCACTCAGTTGCTTCAGATTCTCTCCTTTATTTTCCGGGACCTCTTCGAACCGTAGGACCAAATCTGCTTTCTCCATTTGCAGCTGCAAAAGTTGTGACTCTTCCGTAACTTGTTTCATTTCCAGCTTTTGCACCTTTTTCTTGACTTTTGTAGTATTGGTGTCCATTTCCTTCATCTTCTCTTCCATTTGCTCCATTGCATTTAGAGATTTAGTCAATTGTAGCTGCTGTGAAGCCAAGCTCTGACCAATTGTTGACAATTGTTGCTTGATATTAGTCATCTCCTCTAGCAGAGGGCGCAAGGAATCTGCCAGCAGTTTAGAAAGCTCAGTGGTCTCTTCCGTTCGAGGACTGCCCACTAGTTTTGCTTTCAACAGTTTGTCTTTATCTGGTTTCTTCTCTGCCATCTTTTTGGATTATTTACTTTTCTTAAAGTTGCTAAAGTCTCTGATATTCGCCCATACGCTTATCTGCGCTCTGGTAAGTCTCTTAAAACAGATTTAGCCGCTTATTTTTCCGCTCCTGCCTTTTTATCTCCATGTTTTTATGCGTTTCGGAGGGGCCCCTCCCCCGCTCGTTTTCTGTCACTCTCTAAGGGGGGCAGCTTTCTTTTTATTTCTTCATACTCGCTTCAGCCCGACTCACAGTTTGTTGTTGGCTAACTGGCCTCGCTTGGCATCGTTTTTTTTTCTGCCTGTTCTCCAATGCTTGTCCCAGTCAGCAGCACTCGTACCATGCGGTCACTCAATTCTCTGGCACTGCACCGTCAAAGAGGTCACCCCTCAAAAGCCCCCTGGCTAGGAGCCTTTTACCAAGGCTCGGGGGGGGGTCACAACCCGTTGCACCCCCTCCTACACACTGGTGTGCAGTTTGCATCCCCGGGAGATGCGTCTGCCTGCGTGTCGCCATAAACCGGAAGTTCTCAAAATAAGATCTTAAATGATCTTGGTGCTCAAGGACGCAAATCGTAAATGTTCTCCACTCTTCTTCCAGATACCCTTCAGTGGTAATTTTTCCTTGCCAGACTATTTCCACTGGTTAGAAATCCATAAGTTTAGACGAGCTGTTCCATTGGCAAGGAGTAACGCCTTCAACTCAGTTGAGGTACAAGGAAGATATAATAGAGTTCCTACAAAGGAATGGAAATGCCCTTATTGTCTGGATCGAGTAGACTTCCTCGCTTATATTGTTTTAGTGTGTCCCCAGAACAATACTGCATGAAATAAATTAATTACTGACTTTCATTTTCACTTTTTTGTGTGTGTGAGAGAGAAATTGTGGAAGAAACTTTGACAGCTAATGGCTGTTAAATCTATGGAAAGGAAAGAAATCCTGATAAGATAAATAGATGTCTGGGAGGAAGTAAACGTGACATGCTTTGAGCTGCAGGAGACCAAAATTCAGCTTGTCCCAGTAATTCACTGGCAGACATTGCAAGCAGGCAGGCTGTTGGATCCCCAAGCATCGAGAATAAATCCACGTTTTAAGAAAAGCAAAATTTATTTCAAAGCGTTGACGACATACTCAAACACGTTCTTTGTTAGAACTGGGGATACACAGTTAGGTCAAGCATAATAAAGGACAGGCATGCATACACCGCAGAACAAAAAGGCACAGAATTGATGAACTCTGCAAAATCACATTAAGGCGATTTGCATGTCATTTTGCATCACTTGTTCTGCGTGCTTAAGGAGGCAGTTGTCACACCAAGGCCCTGCGGTTCCATCTGTTGATTGCTTATTTGGCCACTCTCTTGTTCTCTGAGGTTTTGCCGGGTGTGTAGCCTACATAACTTCCAAGCCTGTTTTTCCTTCCCATGGGCGCCTGGAACCTACTCCTGAGATTCTAAGGAAGATGAATTCTGTGGCCAGTACCCCTGTGTGGATTATACACATAGCTCTAGATGAAAGCTTTATCAGAGTAAATTCCTATGTGCAATTCTAGTAAAAACTCCTCTGGGCAGGGGTCATTTCCTGCAGGAGCGCACAGGAGCGAAGCTCCAGCAGTAAAGAGCCCAGGGGGTGGGCACATGCAACAAGCCCCACCCCCTGCTCCCAGCATCCTTAGTCAGAGCAAGAAGCAGCCAGGTAAGTTGCAGAGCTCCCCCCGGCCCCAAACAGTCCAGTGGCACCTTTAAGACCAAGTTTTATTCAGGTACAAGCTCTCCCTCCTCTGTGAGGGCAGATCTGCACGCCCCCCCCCCCAATAGCTAGCAATCCAAAACAGTCCAGTGGAGCCTGAGCGGTGGGTGTTGCCTTCTGATACACTTCTGGTGATGTCAGGGGGTGTGGCATATGCAAATAAGTTATACTAATGAGTTATGCTAATGAGCTCCTGCACCTCTTTTTCTACGAAATGACCCCTGCCTCTGGGTAACATTTAATTTGCATTATTTGGGGAGTCGGTTGTTAACAAGATACCTATTAGCTATGACAGCTAAATGGGAAATCCCAAGTATAGAAACAGTACACCTCCTGAGTAACAAATGTTTGGGGCAAAGAGAGACTGACTTCCTCTATTATTCCTTGATTATGAGTTTAGATATTCATTTAGCTGGCCATTATTGGAAACACTTTTAATGATCTAACCAACAACCTGCACTCACTAACGGTGAAACTATTCTGTCACAGCAGCCATCACCTGAGGGACATGGCAAATAATCACACTGATACCAAAGGCTTTTTAAACTGTCCCCACATCGTTGTCATGGGTGGTGGGTGCTGTCTGTGTCCCTGGGTTTCTCCGTAAAGCTCAAACACGAAGAGAAAAATGAACTAGAAGAAATGAGGACAGCAGAGTCTTGGCAGCTAGATTATCTCAAGGTAAAGCAGCAGGAAGACCAGGGAAAGTAGTGCTGGGCAGCCCTGTCCTAGAAGCGTCTGTTCTGAGGAAGTCTGAGCTCTGTTTCTAAATAACTATGCTTGGGATCGTAGGCCAAAAACGATTCATGCTGTTTTTAACAAGAATCTTCTACTATGTACACTGCATTGTGCGTTCTTTTGAATAGAAAGGCGAAATTCCCTAACCAAAAAATAAATGGGAGATGACATCAGTGTTGCACTTACCTGTAAAACGAGGTTGCGCTTCGCGTGGTCTTCTTTGCAGGCACACAGTCCCCCCCCCTCCTGCCCTGCTGTGAGCGCTGTTTTTCATCTTCCATAATCCAGTAGCTTTTCATGTGCTTGTGACAACTCAGGAGAATTGAGGGGGGAGGAGGAGGAAGCACGTGACCATCTGAGTGGGAAAATGGCCACCGGCGTGCTCTGGAGGAGAGGGGCTCCACGGAGTGTTTCTGAAATTTCAGAAAATGCTGGGAAAAGTCCCTCCAGTGGCCGGCCTGCACATGGGCCACTGAGCCCTTGACCTCAGATCTTGGACAATCTCCTATGAATTTGATATATTTGATGGTACAAACATGATGATAAAAATACTGAGTTAAAACTAGTCTGACAACTTTCTGTGCAAGTACAGAAGTAGATGGTGCCACGTAGGGCTAATGATGCTCACCCATATTTGAGAGCTGGAAGACAAAGTGAGCAGGCATAATGTCCACTCTCTTCTCCCAAACACTGCCTAGCAAGTACAGTATTTGTGAATTCTAAAGCTATATCTTTTGTGTCACTGGAGTGATGGGCTCCCAAAAGTTCTCCCCGCGTATGTCTTTTCTGGGTATTGAAGGAGTGCCTATTGAAGAAATGGGCAGTTCATGGAAAACTATATTTCAAGTGTAAGGATGAGGACTGGGCATAAAGTTCAGCTCAGACAATAGGGATATTGGGGATCTGGCTGTACTGGCCGTGTGCAGCTGGGTATTGCCAACCCAATAAGATGCCTGATGCTTAGCATGTCAGACTGGCCAATATCTGATGCTGCTGCTGTGTCCCCAACATGACTTCCAATCAGGGGTCATTTCGTAGAAAAAGAGGTGCAGGAGCTCATTAGCATAACTTTTTTGCATATGCCACACCCCCTGACATCACCAGAAGTGTTCCACTGGACTCCACTGGACTGTTTTGGATTGCTAGCTATTGGAGGGGGAAACGTGCAGATCTGCCCTCACAGAGGAGGGAGAGCTTGTACCTGAAGGCAGGCCGGGGGGGGGGGGCTCTGCAACTTCCCTGGGGCTGCTGGGAGCAGGGGGCAGGGCTTGTTGCATGTGCCCCCGCCCCCTGGGCTCCTTACTGCCAGAGCTCCGCTCCTGTGCGGTCCCACAGGAAATGACCCCTGCTTCCAATTCTGATAAAGAGCATTACTTTCTGTGAAGGCAGATCTGGCCTCCCCCAGTCTGGAGGCCGGGTCTGACCTACTGATAATGATGCCCCTTTGACATTTATAGGGCCAAGGCCCAACTTGGGTACAATATTGGTACTTCCCTTTAGTCTCTTTGTCCTTATTATTGTGTGTGGGGAAGGGCATGCGTGTCTTATTAAATATTGGGAGTATTATTTTGATATTTCCAGAACTTGCTGATATTAAAATATTGTGAATGTTATCATAAGCTTGCCTTTCCCCACTGCCATGCAGAAAAGAACTGTTTGCCTGCACAGCACGCCCCTGGTGAGAATGACAAACTAAACTGGGTGGTGGAGGGTAGACGCCCGCTCTGATTTCCCCCCTGCAGGAAGATAATATTGGGCATCCTTGCCTAGAATGAGTATTTGGCATGGAGAAATTAATATGGTAAGGAGATGGAGCTAATTTTTATTAAGAGTTGCTCGTGGTCTGTTTCCTCTACAGCCCTTGCTTCAGGAAGCCAGATGAAATGAAGCTACTAAGAGACTATGGCCCGTGCCTGTGTGCTTAGCCAGCTCTCCACTGAGGTCTGGAGGCCTGTGTCCTTTCTCTTCACTGTGTCCTTCCTGGAACTGGTGCAGTAAAGATTTTTCTTCTGGCAAGAAGCCTTCTTGCTGGCCCTCCTGGACTGATGGATAACTTGGCTTCTTTGCTGGCTTGAAGGGCTCTTGCTGTGGGCTGAGGGACATTGTCTTCTCTGAACCGCCTGTTCGTTCACTCACTATTGTGCCATTATATGTGTGATGTTCCTACAATTATATAGATTTTTTATTTTTGTGGCTCACTCGAAATCAAAATTATTCAATAAAATGAGCAGTTGTAACTCTTGTGTTGGCTGTATTTGCACGATGGGATACTGTTCCTGATACTTCACTGTAGCTAGCAGCAGACCCTGTGAAACAATGTATGAGCTGCCTAACTTTTCATGTGTAACCAACTTCCCTTTTATAGTTTCTGCTGCAGCTACCACCTGTTCAAATCTGGATATCTTTCAACAGTGCTTTCCTGGGTCATGACAGCTTGTATTGAATTATGGCTACACTTATTAAGAATACACCAAGTGGACTATCTGGGGTCCCAGCTGCAAGATTGCGTGGTCAACTGGTGTGTGGGACTTTACAATGTAGGGCCCCCCAAACTCTGAGATGTGGATGCATTCGTGAGGGCCCTCCGCCACCAGTGTGAGGTCCCACTCAAGTTGGAGCAGGCAAGAACCCGTCTCAGGGTCTTGAAGCAAGGGAACCGATCTGTCAGAGTGTTCTCTGATGAGTTCAAGACCTACGCTGCCAGACTGCAAGGCTGAAGGAGTTGCTGATAGAATTCTACCAGGCTGGCCTGAACCACACTATCTGGACAAAGCGCTGGCCCAAGAGAACCCAGGGACTCTGAATGGCTGGATCCAGGTGGCGTGTGAGGCTGAGAACCACTGCAGCCTCCCAAACCTCCCACGGGGACGACAAAAGTGCAAGGGGCTGGCTGGGAGGCTGAGGCACAGAGTGGTTGGCAATCCTCAATGGTGATGCTGTAAGTATTTAAGTGCATCAATACGTGGAGAGTGATGTTGCAGCTTAGGACGTCACAGACTCTTTTTGACAGTACAAGCACCTCCAGAAGGCAAGACACTTTATTTATAGCCTGAATTAGAAAAGCACAAGTATTGGTCCCAAGCTAGAGAAGAATCCCATCCATTTGTATGAGATTGCAGAAATAAAAAATATTCACTGTAAGAATGCTCACAGGCAAGTCTGGTCACAGACTGGATAGAGCTCTGAAGAGTCTTTGATTCAAGCACAGAGCCTCATACAGGAAAGGACAAATGGTCCCGCAGCTCCTTGCCAACTGGTGAACCATTGTCTGAGGCCAGAGAAAATTATGCCAAGTCACACTGGTTGAGTCTGCAGTCCTTCCAACACTGCATGAAGAATAGCTGCAGCTGCCACAGCACCGGGGTCTGGCTGATTGAGGTGAGCTGAGCTGATGTAACTGGCCCTCCCGGCAGCTGCTTCCATATTCCTGGTAGATTCAGCAGCATATTCAGCCTGCTGCAGAAGAGGCCAAGAAATGAACATTACACAGCATTACACGTGGATCACTGGTTCTATCCTTCACTTAGAGACCCAGTATGAAGACTTAAGCTAACTTGACAATGTGCTGACAGAAATACAGACAATGGAATGGGCGCTTGCATATATACATCCTGAGAAAATCTGTTTACAAGCCCACTTCTTGTGCCCCCAGCCCTTGAAAAGCTCAGCTGCAAGCAAGTTAATAAACTCACCTGTACAGCTTTGGCCAGAACCTGCATCGGATTAGCCCCAGGAGTCCTCAGAGCTCTGAGCTCTTCAGCAGCTGCACAGAGTGAGTCCAGCTGGCCAAAAGACAAGAAGAATTATACAGAAGCTGCTCCACCAGGGCAAGTAATGGACCATCCTTTCTCTCCCAATCCAGTACCTCCAAATGTTTACTGTTACCAGGGAGACAAATGTCAGCTGTTCTTAGCTATTACCTTTGGTTTGGAGGAACGCCAAGATATGGTTTGATTTACAGTGGAGGCAGCAAGGAAAAAACAAGGATATTTTTACTACAAATGGGTGATGCAGCATATGATCTTGTATCCATGAATATATAACATTTTTAAAAATAAAAGGAACAAGGGGGACCCATGAGGGGTGGGGGATTCCATTTCACCACCAGCTCCACTTTTCTCCCACATTCTCATGTCTTTGGATGCTGCCACAATGTCAGGCATCATTTGGGGTTTTGAGTGAGTGAGGGGGGGGGCTTACACTGGGTAGATTATCACCACTTTTTAAAGACAGGACAGATTTTTTTTTGCAACTTGGGGTTTCTCTCTGTGTGCAGAGCTGTACATTGTAGCTTTGACTAACCTCACTGTATGGTTTTTCAATTTGCATGGGGGGGGCAACCCTTGGCTATAAGATATAAGGATACAGTGACACAGTATGGACTCATCATGGAAAGTTCACTGAACAGACATAGAATGTGAAAGGCCTGTTGCCTCTCTCTCATTTTTATTCCACTTCTTCCAGAAGCTCAAGAAACACACAGATCCAGCCATTATATGTCCAGCTGTTCCAATACAGGCTACTTCTTGTACACGGTATCCACCTCTACTACAATTCTTTATCAGACTTTGAAGTCAAGAATGTCATACTTATCCTTAATATCAATGATAATTTGTAGCAGTCTGTCACCATATATGAGCCACTTCTATGCATCTAGAAACAGCTGCAATATTGAACTCCATACTAATGTATGAAAAAGTCTAGAAACACAGTGCAAACTTGATGCATTATTAGTATATGCAGTTGCGTGGGGCTGCCAGTTGAGTGTTCCAAGGTAACAAAGACAAGGTCTGCGAGACATGAATACAGGGAGCTCTAGGACTGTAGTCTCTTTTGCCTCAAAGGGAGATCATGGTATTAGCAGGAGAAAAGTCCCAAGCAACAGCTCCAGAGAACATCACTCACCATGGTTCTGTCTCCAGGTGCAGCTCCACCATATCTATCAGAGAAAAACAATCCTTATAGGCCCTGCATGTATAACCAGTGCCTTATCTCTCCCTTACAGTTTCTCTCCCAGACAGCAAAGGCAGAAGTAAACCCGCTGCATATTACAAATACTGTGCCGTAATCACATCAGCAACACTCACCGCTTCATGGCTTCAATACCAGCATCCATGGCCACAGACCAAGATGACAGGTCACTATTCATTCGCAGGGGCTGAGCAGCTGCTGTCAAACACAGCCCATAGAGCTGTAAAAAAATCACAAAGCAATTCCGTCTCTATCACACACGCACCACCACCACACTGGCCTAAGCACAAAGCACAGCAGATTAGATTTCATGGCACAATTGTTCAAACATGATAGAATGAGGGAGCTACAAGCTACTTTGATTACACAGATACATTGGGATGGAAACTGAATAAATCTAATCCTATAAACTGAGGGGCCAGAAATAACTGCAAGTCTTCATTGGCAAAGTTTTCAGCAATATTTTGTTAAGTGTACTTCCATAAATTTAGCTATCCAAAATAAATAATCTTTCTACAGTAGGTATCTCCCTTATATATAAAAGCCGAATGGTGGTGGCACTTCTCTAGAACATTCCACACGCTCCGGAATTGGTTGGCCCCCTGGTGTGTCACTCAGAAGCTGTCCCTATCCACTGGCTGCATTGCTTGAGTCTCGCCTCCAACATTCTAAACAGTTTACTGTTCCTCACCCCCCCATAGCCAGTCAGAACACAAAGGTTATTTGCATATGCAGCCTCATTGGCCTTTGCCTCGGAACACAGAGGTCGTTTGCATATGCGACTTGCTTGCCTTTTGCCTCTAACATTCTAAACAGTTTGCTGTTCTGAGGTAAAATGTGTCCAATCTCCAGGTGAGGGCTGGAGATCACTCAGAATTACAACTGCTTTCCAGATGGCAGAGATCAGTTCCCCTGGAGAAAATGGTGGGATCTATATCCTTATATGCTGCTGAGGGGGCGACCGTATGACAGCCAATATGATGTAGCAGTCAGGGCTTCAGAGCACGGGAGAGGATGCAGGTGTGTGGGGGGTGGAAAGCAGAAGAGTGAGGGGGAAATAAAGGAAGGTTGATGATTGGCTGGGAAGGAGATAGGGTTGCCAGCTCCAGGTAGGGAATTCCTGGAGATGTGAGGGATGGAGCCTCGAGAGACCATGACAGCCAATGTGATGTAGAAGTCAGGGCTTAGGAGCACGGGAGAGGCTGCAGGTGTGTGTGGGGTGGAAAGCTGAAGAGTGAGGGGGGAATAAAGGTAGGTTGATGATTGGCTGGGAAGGAGATAGGGTTGCCAACTCCAGGTGGGAAATTCCTGGAGATGTGAGGGATGGAGCCTGGAGAGGGTGAGGTTTCAGGAGGCGTGGGACCTCGGACAGGTACAAAGCCATAGACTCCACCCTCCAAACCAACTATTCCCTTCTGGGGAACCATTGTTGCCAATCTCCAGGTGAGGGCTGGAGATCACTCAAAATTACAACTGTTCTTTAGGTAGCAGAGATCAGTTCCTCTGGAGAAAATGGTGGACTCAGTGTCATTATACCCTGCTGAGGTCGCCACAGCAAATTGACACTGAGTGTCCAAGGCCGGGGCACCCGCCCAGAGCCTCTTTCTAGAGGCCGTTGTATTTATTTCCACAACGGGCCTTTTTTCCTAGTCATATTATACTAATGTAATGTACAGTATTTACTTAGATTCAAAACTAGTTTTTTTCACAGATATGCCATAAAAAGAGTGGGTCATCTTGCAGTCACATAGAAGTTAGTTATACTGATTATTTTTTTGAATATTTTTTGTGTATAACATTTTAAAGAGGTCATCGTATTATCAGGGTTGTCTTCCTTTTGCATACATTCAGTAATTGCCCTATTATAGCGATACCCCACCCTTTCTCTAAAGAGCGCAAGGTGCTGAACATTGGTTAAGTTTTGGCCTCAACTAGAAAGTTCCCTATTCCTCCATTTGTAAGTGTATACTGTTATTCAAATGGTTTAACTTAAATTAACAGGAGCCAATTTTTTAACATTTTATTATCACAAGTTTATACATACGTACTTCTGAAATGGTAAATATCCATCAGCAATAAAAAGGCTCATTCACTGTCTCTTCCCAGCTTCTTACTTCCCTCTGCCCAAACCTTCCCAACAACAAGTTACCAAAGGATAATGCATATGGGGGAGCCAAACCCCCCCCCCGTCAAGCACTCACTGCCCCCGAGGAGCCTCCCATCTT